GGCGAGAAAAATCGCTAATTGGTACACGGAAAACATAAACAAAACTGCCGTGCGAATGCCGATGATTTACTGCAAGGTTTGATTGAATTCATTCGACTCTGTTTACCCGCTTGCTGCTCGTACAACTCTCGCCCTTCGCGGGCCTCCGATGTTTAGCCTTTTTTTTTCATTTATACCGTTGATTTTTTTCCTCACCCGCTCGTTCATCCGCTCCGACGTTGCAAAGTTGCTCGCTGTAAAACTGGAAACAGCGAACGATACGAACGTTTTCTGCTACAAGCTACCACTCTCCCCTGTCATCCCGTTGCAGCCTCCAATCCTCACTTCGCCTACTGCTTCGTTTTATTCTATTTGATCCGAGGGAATGGAAAGGTATGCGAGCTCCGGAGGGTAGACTAGGGGTATGATTTCGCAATCGAATCGCCTCTGTATATTTTCCTTCGTGTCAATTCGTTAGCGAACATGAACAGTCGAAAAACTTCAAACAAACTGCTTTTAAATAATTTTAATTTAAAACTATTATACCAATGTTGATGCCTTAAAATAAAATAAAAAAGATTTTCCTCCATATATAAATGAAATTGTAAGTGAAAATTATATATCTCTAATAACGCAAAATATATCTTCTTTACTTGAGAATGAAATGACTTAATAAATTATTAATGAAAATTTACCTGCTTATATAATATTAATTAATTTTTAAAAAATACAATACATATGTTTAATTTTTATGTGACTATTAATGTTCGTGATTAATAAATTAAATTAAATAGAAATAATTTTAAATAAAAATAACGAAAAAATATTTATATATGTTTATGTAGGGGAAAGTTGCCGAATGCGTACTGGTCGCCTAAATCCTACCTCATGAATATTTTATATTATTAGTTAATATAGGCAATATTTAGTAACAATAATATAAAATATATGAGAAATGAGTAATATAGACAAAAATATAATAGCCTACATCTTGTTTTATGGATGTTAGCGGCGTTTTAAAAAATCAGGTACATCTGATAT